GGATATCCTAAACAGGAATTGTTCCCAAAGGGGCTGGATGGATCCCAGTGCCAGCGGGATACCCCGCGGGGCGAATCCCGTTCCGGGGTTGTGCTCACCGGGGGTGCGGGGGAAGGCGGCCACGCTGCCGTCCTGCAGCCCGGCCAGCAGGAACGCGCGGCTGCTCCGCAGGCTCAGCACGGGCGCCGCGCCCGGCACGCGGCAGCGCTGCAGCACCGGCGTCCCCGCCGCCACCGCCCCGAACACCAGCACGCTGCGGGACCCGCACGGCGCCGTCAGCACCGCATCGCCGGATCGGGATCCGCGGGATCGGGAGAGGGATCGGCCCCGGAGCGTGGGGAGAGAACAGGATTGGGATCATTGGAATCGGCCCCGGAGCATGGGGAGAGAACGGGATCGGAATCATCGGGATCAGCCCCGGAGCGTGGGGAGAGAACGGGATTGGGATCATCGGGATCAGCCCCGGAGCGTGGGGAGAGAACGGGATCGGGATCATCGGGATCGGCCCCGGAACGTGGGGAGAGAACGGGATCGGGAGATCGGGATCATCGGGATCAGCCCCGGAGCGTGGGGAGAGAACGGGATTGGGATCATTGGAATTGGCCCCGGAGCGTGGGGAGAGAACGGGATCGGGATCATCGGGATCGGCCCCGGAGCGTGGGGAGAGAACGGGATCGGGATCATTGGAATTGGCCCCGGAGCGTGGGGAGAGAACGGGATCGGGAGATCGGGATCATCGGGATCAGCCCCGGAGCACAGGGAGAGAACGGGATCGGGATCATTGGAATCAGCCCTGGAGCATGGGGAGAGAGCAGGACTGGGATACGGATTGGGATCGGCCCTGGAGCGTGGGGAGAGAACGGGATCGGGATCATTGGGATCAGCCCTGCACTGCAGGATTTGGAATTGAGGCTGGGATTTGGGATCAGAGCTGGGATTTGGGATGGGATTCAGATGGGAGCTGGGATTCGGGATCGGGGCTGGCACTCGGGATCGGGGCTGGGATCCGGGATCGGGGCTGGGATCCGGGATCGGGGCTGGGATCCGGGATCGGGGCTGGCACTCGGGATCGGGGCTGGCACTCGGGATCGGGGCTGGGATCCGGGATCGGGGCTGGGATTCGGGATCAGGGCTGGGATTCAGGGTACAGGCTGGCATTCGGGATCGGGGCTGGGATTTGGGATGGGGGCTGAGATTTGGGATCGGGGCTGGGATCAGGGATCGGGGCTGGGATCCGGGATCGGGGCTGGGATTCAGGATCGGGGCTGGCTCTCGGGATCGGGGCTGGCTCTCGGGATCGGGGCTGGGATCCGGGATCGGGGCTGGCATTTGGGATTGGGGCTGGGATCCGGGATCGGGGCTGGGATCCGGGATCGGGGCTGGCATTCGGGATCGGGGCTGGCACTCGGGATCGGGGCTGGGATCCGGGATCGGGGCTGGGATTTGGGATCAGGGCTGGCACTCGGGATCGGGGCTGGGATTCGGGATCGGGGCTGGGATTCGGGATCGGGACTGGGATCCAGGATCGGGGCTGGCACTCGGGATCGGGGCTGGGATCCGGGATCGGGGCTGGGATCCGGGATCGGGGCTGGGATCCGGGATGGGGGCTGGGATCCGGGATCGGGGCTGGGATCCGGGATC